CAGGTACGGGTCAGGTTTTGGCGGGAAAAGTCCGGTAGGGGTCAGGTACAGGTTAAGATTTGGCGGGAAAAGTCAGGTACGGGTCAGATTTGGGTCAGTTTCGGGTCACACGTGGCCAGCGCATGGCCTGATTATATCCCCGTTACAGTGTGCTTTTTTTTGTAATAAGCATTTTTTGTTGAAATTATATAATATATATTTCACTACATAACAACAGAACATCAAATAACAACTTTAGCATGACAACGTAATAAACAGGGCCTTGTGCAGTTGCCCCAGAATATATAAATCACTGCACAGCTAAAATATCCAGACAACACAAAACCAACACACATTAAAGGGTCAAAGGCGTTACACATGCGATAACGCCAGCTAACGAATATAAAAACCAGAACAATCATGTAGCAATTATCACCTTGTAATTTCGAAAAATCTCCTTCACTGCTCTGTGCCCCAAAATAACAGCAGGCATGGCATAATCAAAATAATCTTCACGTGCTTGTTTTCATGTCAGGTTGTTATAAGGGGCGAAAAATGAAGGCGACGCGGAAGTGGTGGCGACGCGGCATAGTTTTTCCAAATTAATCTTCACAACATATATGCACCTGCATGTAGAGACTTAAAAAAAAAACGGACATGAGACAAACTGACAGTTTAAAAAACGGCGGAAACAACCAACACGAACATCTATCGACGTTGACACAAACAACCTCCAATACCTTCACTCTCTGTCCTGCGAGTAAGCAAAAGAAACGTGATGCAAGAAATGTAGATTGCAAAGTTAAGAAAAAAAAACAACAATCTGCAAGGGAAGGTGACTTCATGGATCGCAACGGGGGAAAGATAGGAGATACGGTATTGCAAAGTAAAGAAAACGAACCAACAATCTGCAAGGATAGGTGAACTTATAGATCGTAATGGCGGAAAGATAGAATATACTGCAAAGTCTGGAAAATGAAACAACAATCTGCAAGACAAGACGGCTTTAAGAGATCGCAGTGGCGGAAAGACAGATTGATATCTTTACATGAAATAACATCAGCGAAAAAAAAACAAATGAGTCACCATAGTTGACTAGCGTTTTGTCGCTGAAGAATCGCCCCCTGTGACGATACTCGCTTTCTGCCACAGAAAGGTTCATAACGGGTATTTATATTTAAAAAAGAAATAGAAGCGTAAGGACTTCGCTACCTACAGTTGGCGCGAAAACTAATATGCTATTAGGAACAGATACATTGTTGGATGAGTATTAGAGCTAGGGACGACAAGATAACGAGTTGGGGACGACGGGATAGGAGCATGACATTAGGCTTAGCTAGGAGTGGCAAGGTAACAGCAAGAATAGAGCATGGAACAACTACAAGAGAAACAGGAATGGTGAAGTGAGTGGACAATCGAAACCCTCAAATTTCGCGTAAAAGTTGTTAAAAGAGAATACATCGTCATGACGAGAACGTGTAGATAGCGTAGTGGTTAGGGATTGAGGGGTCAATCGGAAGGTAGCGGGTTCAATTCACGCGCGAACGATTTGGTACTCGTCTTTCTTCCAACCCTAAATCCATTGTTAAAATCAGTTTCCACAATTTGCGCAGTTTCCTTAGCCCAGTGGTTCCGATTCCGCAACTAAAGTGAAGGTGAGGAGATCAATTCCAGCCAGAGTCTTTGTTACATAAAAGTGCATGTTGCTTGTAGTTCTACACGCTGGTCGGAAAATTTTCGGAGTCGAGAACTGCCAGCGACAGGTATCGAACCCGCATCCCCGGAATCCCATGGACCTTTCGGCTTTTGGGACACGTTCAGGTCAGGTACGGGTCAGTACTACTTTTGGGCAAGAAAACTCAATGACCCCAAACTATCTCCCAACTGACCAGTAACCCTAAAGTGTCCCAAAAGTCACTTTCGGGTCAATTTTGGGCCAGGCTGGGGTCAATCCGGTTTCCGGGTCAGGTTTGGGTCAGAAACATTTTGGGGATGAGATGCACGCTTGTGGTTTGGCGGCGGGTGGAGGGGACTAGTTGAAGGGAAGAGCTGAAGGGAAAGGGATGAAATACGCATGGAGCGACTCTTGGCGAAACACGTCGGCAGGAAGAGCATAAGCGCGTTGCTCAGAGCACCCATCACGACGACTGGATCCTTCTTAGCTTTCTAATTAGCTACTTAGCTACTTACCTGGATTCTACTTAGCTTTCTGCTCGAGCAGGGGCTCCTCAAGGCGACCAAGGAGAGGGTGGGTTGCTTTGGATCTGTTCTGCCTGCTGGAAGCAAACTTTATAAGGTTACCGAGTTCGTTCAAGTCGTTTCGGCATTGTGCGAAACTCCGAGTTCGCGGGGAACAGGTCTGGAGCTCGAGTCGCAGCGACGGTCCCAACGGGGGACTTCAAGGCTGGCACGGCTACTCCAGCTCTCCCATGCCGAGCGAAGGGTGTACGTCTGGCGCACCAGGTTCGGCTCGAAAATGTGTCTCATCGAGGAAGGCGGAGACTTCGGAGTCCCGTGCGTTCGGTTTGGTTTGTGAGGGCGACGTTACCAAATTCGTTCAAGTCGCTTACACGTACGAATCCCCGAACTTGACGGGGATCTGGTTCGGTCGAGTTGACGATACCGAAGCTGACTCGTTTCGCTTCCGAACTTTTCGACTCCACCTTTTACCAAACCTCTCCAACCGAGGTTTTCGCCTAGCAAGGTTGTGCTCGTCTGGCCCTTCATTGTACAGTATAAGGGCGTGTCGCTTTTTTGATTTTTGGCAATTTTCCGGACGGTTCACTTTTCTGGTTCCGGACGGTCCGAATAGCGAGAACCGGACTGTCCGAGTTGCCATTCGGAACTTTGCCCCGTCCGAGTGCAAGACTGTCACTTTTTTCAGTGGTTTGAATTTCCCGAAGTACTGTAGTCTCGCTAGAGACGCTGTAGCGTCGTTACACAATTCACGACAGCTTTCTGCAATTTTCGTCAGCCAATATTATTTTCATATTTTCCGAAAATGTCGCGCGCCAATCCCTAGTTAGTACTGTTGCACCGTCCGTTTGGTTTCTGAACTGTCAAGGGTTCAGATTCTGAACCGTTGAAAGGAGTAAAAAGTGACGCGACTGTTCGGATTGTTGGCGACGTCGCACACACTTTCACGAATGAAGTCACGAAACTGTGCGACGCTGGTAACCTGTCCGCAGCTCGGACCGTCCACGGTTCGAACCGTCAGGGTCAAAATGGAGACACGCCCTAAGGAGGTTTTTGAATCACATTTTCGTCATATCTGTTGCGTACCTCGTGCTGGCCTTTTCCGCTCGTCTCCTTGAAAGGCCCTCTGCTTCCCAGCGCATTTCAGTTACTTCGAGATTCGAAACGGCGTGCGAGTGTCGCCAAGCTGTCTCCGTCGGACGCGCCGTCGTACTACCAGCTGCTGCCGAAATGCGTCAAACAAGATGAGCGGCGTAGACGTTGCTACTCGCGCGAGCGAAATCTCTCTCCCTAGAGCAACCGCGTTTATCTAGAAGTAGCGGCGGTCCGTTTGACGCGCTCACACTCGAAATGACGCAGGGAGTCTCTCTTAAGCGACCACTGCACCGCTTGCGATCGCCTCCGACTTGAAATGTTCAGCGGATCGAGGAGTAGCGGCGGTCAATTTGGTGTCATGCGACGCTTCGCATTTGCGAAAGCTACACACGCCAAAATCGATAACGGGAGCTAGACTACGGGCTAGGCACGGGTGCTCGTGTGATCTCTGCGTTCGTTCGTTCCTTAGTCGTTTTCTTGTGCGCACACTGCTTGCTAGTTTACAGGGAGAATTGGCAAGAGTTCCACTAAAGTTCAGAACAATGGTACACACACGATGGCGAGACTAGACTACATCAGAGCTAGGATGCAGGCAGGTCGACTGCCAGCGTAGCATGGTCGACCACGTGCTAGCACGACTTGGTCGACCGCGTTCCAGTGTAGAGTCGCAGCCTGCCAACGCTGCAGGTCGATGGCGTGCCAAGACCGCAAATCGACGGCGGTCAGCGTTGCTCCCGCAGTACAGCATCGCAACCAACTCGCTTCCACCCTCTGTTTCCCCTGATATTCCCCCACTCCCTCCTTTTCCTTCCAGGTCAACAACGATCTTGAGTCTGCTCCTGATTTTAACGTTGGGTTCACGAACTCCTTGAAAGCATGTACAGTGGAGCCTAGACGGTAGTGCCAGTGGTGGATGGGAAGAGAGGGTGAAGCGGCACAAACAGATTATTATCCAGCTCGCCGACATACCCCCCCACTCCCCCCCCCTTCCCCCCCCTTCCCCCCCTCTCCCCCCCTTCCCCCCCTCTCCCCCCCTTCCCCCCTTCTCCCGCTTCCCCCTTCCCTATTCTCCCCCTCTCGAAACCCCCCACATTCCTTTCCTCTCTCCTTCCTGTTCTGCCGCTCCCTCCCTGTCACATTTTTTTGCCTCTGCTCTTCCTCCTCATTGTGTATGCTTCACTTCATTCTCTCCACTCATCATTCCCCACCATCGCCATCATCCCGTTCTGCCATGCCCTTCATCCCGTCATGACGTGCGCCTTCTTTCCCCATGACGTCCTTAATCCTCCTCACATGAACCAAGTGTCCCTCCCGTCCTTCATCCTCCTCCCCCACTTTTTCACCCTCCCATCTGCACCATCACCATCCCAGCCAAGCAGCACCGTAGACATCGCACCCTCAGGCACCACCTCTTCCTCCCTCCCACATCACACACACAACGACCACTTGATCTGCTATCACCCAATCCCCCCTCCATGCCCCACTTGTCCTCATGTGCTGCTTTATTATCTCTGCGCTCTCTCCCGCCCGCCATACTCTCTTCTCCCTTCTTCCTCCTTGGTGCATGGTTGATGGTGGCAGCAGAGATAAAAGTGTTGTTTTGACGTCTCAAGCCATACCCTCTTCTCCCTTCTTCCTCCTTGGTGCATGGTTGATGGTGGCAGCAGAGAGGCACTGCAATTGTCTTACGACCACCCATCGGTTCCTCCATCCATTCTGCTGCCCTGCACCTATCTACCATCAGCTGCTTCTAGCACTCGTGTCACGATGATGGCATGGTGTGGAGGGATGTGACACTGGTGGAGAGGAGAGACCAAGTATCATTCCTTCCAGGTCAGGGATTCAGCCCCTGTGTTGCCTTGCCGCCTGCTGTCATTCACAGCAGCAGCTGCTGGGGGAACATGGCAATCACTTCGGGCTCAGGGACACTACAAGCACGAAGGTGGTGGGATTGGAGTTCAAGCGTGCAGCAGCATGCATCACATGATCACATCTGCATCTGCCGCTTTTCATGCACGCACTGGCCCACTACTGCCTGCCTCACTCAGCCCTGGGTCTGGTGCCCTCATCAGAATGCCGCTGGCCTAGTAAGCCGTTGTTGTACATGTACACCACTTAGGATCAGTGATGTTTGGTTATAAATTCCAATGCTGCGTAAGATTCTTTTTGTTTTTTTATAATAGTATTGGAGCAGACAAACATATCTAAAGCTGATGAAACATGTTCAGACAAGCATGTTTATGAAAGCAGTGGCTTAGAAACATGATCCATACCGGTACAAACTTGCCCCCTGACTCTCTGTTCTTGCAGCTCTTCCCTCTCCACTATAGGAAGAGTGTCTGCACAGAATGGCATGGCTCATGCAGCCTTTCATCATACACCTGGCCCCTTGCCCAGACAGACCTGCATCTGCATCTGTCCTTTTGCGAGGAATGGGTTCCCATCTACTGTCAACATGCACATTCTCCAGCTCTATGCGAGATACTATTTCAGCTACCCTCCCATGCCTCCTCCGCATGCAATACAAGTCCTGTTATCTCCTAAACACTCGGTCAACTCCCCAACCCTTCACCCCCTTGCCTCCACGCATCTCGTCGGTATTCTCAAGACAGTAACAGCTACTCCTCCCTCACCTCACGTCCCTTTCCATCATACTCTCTGCCATTGGCAGTCTACCAGCTACTTGCTTATCCGCTTGCGTACATCATTGTTTGTGAGCCAACCTTCCTTTGACAACCAAAGGCGTGTCAGCTTGGTCAAGGCAGTCAGCTGCTGCAGCCCATCATCCGTGACTGCCGTGTTATCTAGAGCAAGTTCCTCAAGCGATGTCAGCCTCCCCACATGCACCATGCCAGCATTTGTCACACCGTTACAAGTAGAAAGCCACAGCCGCTTGAGTAAGGAAAGGCCTGTCAAGTGCAGCAGACCAGCATCGGTCACCTTGGTCTCAATGAGTGTAAGCTCCCTGAGACTGGTTAAGGACCCAATGCCTTCCAAGGCACTGTCTGTGACGTCTGTGTTGTTGAGGTTCAGCACCTCCAGCTGTGGCAGCCTGTAGAGGTGCTTGATACCTCCTGCACTGAAGCCAGAACTTTTGTACAAGTCAACACTCGTCAGATGCGTTATGGTGGAAACATGGCCAAGCATGGCATCTGAGAGATCGCTGAGATGCGAGAAACTCAATTCCGTTTGTTGGGACGCTGACTTGATTTCCTGGAGGGCTGCCAACTCCATGGCACGTGGCTGATTCAACTCCTGCACCTCTATCCTCTTCACCTCCTGTGCAGGCTCCGAAGTCATTTTTTGCCTTTTTTTTCTACTATTCCCTCTCAGCCCGCCTATATTCGATGCCCTTCCACTCTTAGCGACCTTGTGTTCCGCCAACTCCCCCTTCACCGCTGCCAACTCCCCCTTGACCGCTGCCAACTCCCCCTTCACCGCTGCCAACTCCCCCTTGACCGCTGCCAACTCCCTCTTAACCGCTGCCAACTCTCTCTCCCTTTCCTCCATCGCAGCATTAGTCGCCTCATTCTTCTCCTCCACAGCAGTCAGCATGTGCTGCAGCTCATCCACCTCCTCCTTGTGTGCAGATAGGTCTCCTCTCACTGCTGCCAGCACCACCTCTTTGACCACTTCAACAAGTGCCCCCATCACCCTCTCAGCAGCCATGCTTTCCAATGATCCTCTTCAGACGATCCTTGATCAGCTGTCTCCTTCACTTCAGCCTGGTGAAAGCAGACAAGGCCCGAGCAGGGTCGGGTGAAGTTTCTTGAAGGACATGCACAAAAAAGGGGTTGGGATGTGCACAAGAGCAAAAATTGAATTGCACGGGCGTAAGGGACAAGCCAGACATGTCAATAGGAGAGAATATGGAGCATAACAAGCGCAAGTCCTGAAGACAAAATGTGGGATACTGGTTTGATTCGAACACATATTTGGCTCAAGCGCTGAGGAGATTAGTTGTGCACACACATGCGTTTCACATGAAGGTAGAAAGCAATGGAAGAAGGGGAGGCCAGGTGGAGGAGGACCAGAAGTGACAGGCCGAAACAAGAGGTGCAAGCTGGGAGTCCCAAAAAAAAAAGATTTATGCAAGGCCTGAACGTATCCACAGGGTAAAGGGTGGAAAGAAGCAAAGTGGATAGGGTGGTGGCGTAAAAGAGCTCTCTCGGACAGGGAAGCCTTGAAGGGAAGCATGTACATGGTAGTGGTAAAAATCACAGGCAGACAGAGATCTGTTGCAAGACTTGAAATGGAACCACAGCAACCAAGGAAATTATGAGAGGAACCAAAGACGACAGAGGGAAGCTGACCAGGTTAAAGAAGGACGTAGGTGGTTTAGTGTATGTTGCAAATACGCTCAGGCAGCCAAGCGCATTGCCTTGCTATGCATTAAAGCTTGTTAGGACTGACCAACGTGAGATGCAGCAGGAGCAGGGGGATTAGGGTGCAGCGACCAAACCAGGAAAGGGGGAGGGAGGCAGCAGGGGGAGGGGGAGATAAGCAGCAGCAGCAGGGGAAGGACAGCACAAGCAACAACAACAGGCGGAGGAGGGGATACGTGACAGGAGAAGGAAGACAGGAATGCACTGAGTGCAAGGAGGCGAGGAAGCCAGGCAAAGAACAGGGACGGATAATAAACTGGACCATACGGGCATGTATGATGTAGCAACCAAGGCAGTCGACGAAAGGAGATAAGACTGGCGTGAATCAAGTGGGATGGCATGAAAGCGCGAGAAGGTTGTCAGAGAAAAAGAACGAGTACAGCAAAAGAGAAAAAGGTGATATTAAGAGGAGCCACGCAAAGAGGGCAGCAGGGATGGCAAAATAATGAAGTGGCGAAGGGAGATATTAAGATGAGGCCCAGATGCTGAGAGGCGGAGAGTAGAGAGAGGGGGCCAATACCGGGTGAAGCGAGCAAAAAAGGATAAGGGTGGAGAGCGGCTAGATTCTGAATAAAGGGAAACTTAAAGAGTAAGTTGAAGACAGACGCATCGGAGCACCGCATGCCAAGCTGCACCCCACCTCGTTGCTGCGAATCGCGACGCCACGTGGGCAAACGCGATGCATCGGGTGTTAACGTCTAGGCTGTGAACCCTCTAGGGTTCTACTAGTTACGATCCTTGCAAGTGGTGGACTTCAGAGGCCGGAGCGAAGCGGAGAGAGGGGGGTGGGGGTTGGGAGGTAGTAGGGAGGGAGATTGACTGTTTCGCTGGGTGCATGGCACGTGTGCGCGGCGAGGTGCGACGAGAACGCAGTACTAGCGTCACACGGTGTGGCAAAATGGCAGCACACGGCCGCCGTGATGTCGTCGGAATGAGGCATGGCGGCGGTCGCGCGGTCGAATCCTCATAGGAGATTCGATCAGCGTGCGGACTACGGTCGTTGGACTGCACAAAGGAAAAGAACGATGTATACTTCGCGCAGCTTAGTGTTGTGCGAACGTCGTCTGTTCTATAACCATGCACATCGTCCTTCCGAACGGAGAATTTGATTCGACGCGACGCGGTAGTAATATGGGAGTATTTGTATGGGAGATGCCTATCTCCGTCTCTGGCATGATCGGCGAGGTCACAATACCGTTGGGCTTCTCGATATTGAGATGCAAGTCTCGACACACTGTCAGGATCTTGTTTCTGGTTCGGGTTGGTGTTTGCTGGTAACACAAAGTTACATCCCGAACTGATTCAGCATTGAGTAGCGTCTTTTCATCTTCTCGCTTGTACTTCCCGTCCAAAGAGTCTCGACCGCTTCAACCCATTCATCAACCCGTTTGCTAGATACGCCCTCAACCAACCCCCCCATTAGAACTGTGTAACGGCGTCTGAAGTGAGAGACTCGAACTTCGCATTAGTAACCCTAATCACAGTCTGAATCAGCGTCGCGCTGAAAGAATGTCGGCAGGTATAACAAGCGAATCGCGTTTCTCACTAGCGGATCACCCAAGTCCGCATTCCCCTCCGACATGCCCACACGCCTCTGCCATTCCCTTGAATCGCCCGATCCCTCACCAGCCCTGCTCTGATTCGGTTATCTCACGAGCTAAATTCACGAGACACCCTGGTCACACCACGTGCATTATGACTCATGCCATCATGGTCTGTGGTGACCCGATCCGAGGCTTCGATGCTGTACTGTCGTGCGAGGGGCGGACGATTCGATGCGCAATCACCTTTCTTTCCTGTTCGACATACCGGCATGCAAGCAAACTGCCAGCACAGCGCGCTGATCGCGGCAGGAATTGTTAGTGGCGATCGACGCCGGGTGAGGCGAAGGGCTGAATTCGTTGCGCTCGCAAACGACCTCATGCGCGCATTCGCTCGCTTGGCATGGGATCAAGGCAACGGCGATTTAGCAACAGTGGGTGGAGCGCGGGTGCTGTGCGGTGCTCCTCGGTACTAGGATGCGATAGGCTGGACTCGGACGTGCGACGGCGACGCCGAGCGACGGGGACGGGCTGGTGAACTGGATGGAGAGAGACGAACGGTGCGATGAGGGGTTAATCCATCGGCAATGAATGCATGGGCGTGCGAGGCGATCGAATTGATGGGTGCCACAGCGCACGCCATGCGGCATGAGGTGGAAATTCCAATCCTGCCCTCCTTCGTTCACCCCCCTCCTCCTCCCTCCCCTCCCTGCTCCTCCCTCGCTCTCCCCTCTGAAGTTAAGCTAGCATCTATGTGCTTTTTCACTTCTTCTGGACTCCTGTCAGTTCTGGTATCTCCTTGTGCCGTTGTTCCTTCTCAAAACCCTTTTCCATTTCGACCTCGCCTGGGGAGCTTGTCTTCAGTCGGCTGAGAGGCACCCACCTAGTTTCCAACGGGCACCTCGCTGCTGCCACCTGGCTCACCTGCCACCCCCACACACCAGGTACGCGCGGCTGTGCACTTGTGAGTGGTGCCCCAACGCTGCCACTTTTCCCTCTGTGCTCCCTGTCTCACCCTTCCTATGTGACCTTCTCCTCCCCTTCCACCCCTGCCTATAAACTGATGCTCTCTTTAAATGCCTAGTATCAATTTCATCCCTCTCCAGCTCAGCCTCTACCGTGTCCTAGCCAGTTCTTTTCCATGTCCAACCAATCTCGCCCCACTCTTCTCAACTTGCTGCTGCTGTTGTTATCACCACTTTGTGCTGCTCTTTTCTGGCCACTTTCTTTTCTTTTTTCAAATCACAAAGATTCTCCCTGTTTACAAGCTTCTTTCCTTGTTCACCATTTTCCATCCTCTCTCTTGGCCACCTTTATTCCCACTGTAATATTCTCTTGTCTCCTCCCTCTTCCATGCCTCCTGTTTCTCATCCCATGCCTTCTTGCACCCAGGGATACCAACTCCTCAGGTACACTGTACACCTTCTCTCTTCAGCTGCCCTTTCCCTGCTTCCGCCAAATCGTGCTTTAGCTATAGTCGCTCCCCCAGTCGTTTGTCGCTCGGCTATCATCCAGTTGCGGACCTTTGTCAATCCGTCTGTTGAGAAGCGCCTGCTACTTTTGCCCTCTTTCTTCTTGTGTGCCCTTTCGCCCCCGGCCACACAAAATTGTCTGGTAGGGTGGTGGTGGGATGGGGAATGGTCGTATGGGAAATGGCGGAGCGGGGGTTTGCAGGTTAGAAGGCGGAGGGGGATGGGCAAGAGGGTTACATACACGGGGGGAAGAGGTCCGGGAAGGGGTGTGGGGAGATGATGGGGACTATGTGGAGTTGTTGGAAACGGATGAGGAGGAGGAGGAGGATGATGAGGAGGATGATGAGGAGGATGATGAGGATGAAGAGGATGCTTGGGAAGTGACACTGACAGTGGGGGAGAACAGAGGATGTGATAGTCAAGTGCGTGATTCTAAGGAATTACTTTCTGAGAGTGGGGAGGAGAGGAAAATGGGTTCAGGGCAAGCAAGGGAGGAGGAGGACAAAGAGGGAGAGAGGGGGGCAGGTAAGGTGAAGGAGGGAAAGGAAAGAGGAAAGGAGGAGAGGGAGGAGAAGTTGGAGAAAAAGGAGAGGAGGAAAGGGGGCCATGAGACGTACTACACATGTGAGGAGTGTGGAAAGGCGTTTCCTACACGGGCGAGGAAAAGCAATCACATGGCCACCCACTTGAAACAGGTGTGCTTCCCTCACTCACTCAGTCACTCACTCACTCACTCGCTCGCTCGCTCACACACTCACTCTCTCACTCGCTCGCTCAATCGCTCACTCACACACTCATTCACTCGCTCACTCACACACTCACTCAATCGCTCGCTCGCTCTCTCGATAGCTTGCTCACTTACTCACTCACCCTCTCCCTTCCTCTCACACTTCGTAGTGTGGGGTGCAAAGGCATTCTCATTCAACTACCTGTTAAAGAGGCACCTTCTCACTCACAACCCTGTTGCTCGCAGGGTGAGAATTCCCCGCTCTCTTCCCCTCCCCCTTCGTCCCCTTCCCAAATTCCCACTCTTTCCTTGCCGTTTCTCCTTTTTCCCTTCCTCCCCTTTCTCTCCTCGAAGTGTCCTTTGCATGAGACATCACTGCACACACAGGTAGATACACAATTCATTTACACAACTTCATTTTCTCCGTTCTCATCCTCCTCTCCATCCCCGTTCCTTCCTGTCCGTATTGCAATTTCCCATCCCCAAACCCCCCCCTCTCTCTCCTCCCACCCCCCACTTCGTCCGTCTTGCCTCACTCTTCCCACTACAGAACAGACAACTCCACGAGTGATAAATATATATATTTTGTCAACTAGAAAATTCTCTCCTGCAGCACAGCACGGACAACTCCACGAGCGTCACTGCAGTCTTGTGGAGAAGTCTCTAAAACCTTTTTATAAGCGTCATTGCAGTCTAATAGATGCAACTTGCTTCTTCTATACCGCTTATCTTCCCCACCCCCCACTCTCCTCCCCGGCATTACCAGCACCCGTGCCCTCTTCCACGCTGCCCTCGGGCCTTCAAGCGCCGAAACCACATGTGGTATCATGCAAGAAAGCAACATTACAATCTAACTGGTGTTACTTGATTCTCTGCTTCCTGCTTCTTCCCATTCCCCACTCCGCCCAAAACCACCATCACCCTTGCTCTCATCCACGCTGCCTTCGGACCTTCAAACGTCGAGGCGACATGTTGAATCATGCAAGGCAGCATCATGGGGGGGAGGGGAGGAGTGGGGACATGATAAAGCATACAAGGAAGCAGCAATGGGGAGAAGGGGGGAGTGGGGAGAAGCTGCTGCATTCAAGGAAGCAGCATTGCCAGGAAGAGGAGAGTGGGGACATGGTGCAGCATGCAAGGAAGCAGCATTGCGACGAAGCAAGGACGGGGGAAGAGGGAAGGCGAGGGGAGGAGAGGGATGAAGAGGGAAGGAGGAGGGAGGAGGGGGAGGAGGAGGGGAGGAGGGAGGAGGAGAGGGACGAAGTGGAGGGAGAGAAGGGGGAGGAAAGGAACGACAAGGCTTCCAGAGAGGAAGAGGTTCATGGAGGGGAGAAGGACGCGGTTCATGGAGGGGAGAAGGACGCGGTTCATGGAGGGGAGAAGGACGCGGGAGTTTTGCGGAGGGAAGAGGGAAGGAGGGGGAACTGGAGGGATCAAGAGGAGGGACCCCGTCCCCTTCCTTCCAGGGAGGGGAGCGTGGGAAGGGCAATGAGACAGCTTCGAGGGGAGGGCAATGCGCTTGGAGGAAGGAGGGGGAGAGAGGAGAGAGGGGGGCAGCCGTGGGACAGCATGAGAAGGGTAGTGATGCCTCTTCAATTGGAGGGCAGCGTGGGAGAGGCAGTGAGGCAGCGGCAAGGAGAGTGCAGCGCGGTTGGAAGAGGGACGGGGAGAGAGGAAGGAGGAGTGCAACCCTGTCTTGGAAATGAGGGCTGTCTGGGGAAGTCTGTGGTGCAGATGCAAGGGGAGGGCAGGAGTTGCAACCCAACTGTAACTGCAGCTGGAGGAAGGGGGGGGACAGGGGTGGGTGCAACAACCCAATCCTTGCCTGTAAAGGAGGGCAACAGCAAGGGAAGGGCAGCAGTGCAGTTGCAAGGGGAAGGCAAAAATAGTGGCAGAGGGAGGAGAGAAGAGGTAGAAGTAACTCAATCTCTGCTTGGCAATACCGGCAGCATAAGAAGGGTTGTGATGCCGTTGCAAGGGGAGGGCAGCGTGAAAGAGGCAGTGAGGCAGCAGCAAGAGGAGGGTAGCGCTGCTGGAGGAGGGAGGGGGAGAGAGGAAGGAGCAGCGGAATCCCTGCTTGGCAAGAAGGGCAGCATGGGAAGGGTGGTGGTGCCGCTGCAAGGGGAGGGCAACGAAGGCGGAGGAGGGACGGCATACGGAGAAGAGGAGGGAGCTGTTGCTGTGTGGATGCAAGAGGGATCAGAAGAGGGATCAGAGGAGGGAGAAGAGGAGGGGGACGAGGACGAACCACCCTTTCCCGTGCGTTTCAAGGGAGAGGGAAGCATGGGGAGCTGGAGGGTGAATGAGTGGGAGAGAGAGGAGGAGGATGCGAGTGATGTGGATGGTGGAGGTGGAGTGGGGAGTGGGGAGTGGGGAGGGGGTAAAGAAGAGTGCGCATCGGGGAGCGGTGGGGAGGCATGGAGGCGAGAAGGAGGGTGATTTTGTGAGTGGGGAAGAGGGAAGGAAGGGGGAGGAGAGGGGCGAAGAGAGAAGAAGTGGGGAGGGGAGGGACGAGGAGGGAAGGGAGGGAGATGAGAGGGACGATGAGGGAAAGAGGGAGGAGGAGAGGGGGGACGAGCGAAGGAGTGGTAAGGAGAGGAACGGGGAGGGAAGGACGGAGGAGGAGAGGGACGAAGAGGGAAGGAGGGAAGAGAAGAGAGAAGGTGAGAGAAGGAGGAGGAAGGAAAGAAGCGAAGAGGGAATGAGGGAGGATTGGAGGGGGGAGGAGGAAAGGAGGGGAGCAGCGCAAGAGGAAGGAGCAACGCAATCTCCTCCTGGAAATGAGGGCAGTGTGGGGAAGCCAGTGGCGTTAATGTTGACAGAGCAGGGATCTCCGTACCAATCCTTGCCTGCGGAAGAGGGCAACACGGGAAGGGCAATGCTGCCACTTCGTGGGGAGGGCAGCGATGGTGGAGAAGGGGGAAAGGAGGGAGAAGGGCAAGAAGCACCGTCCCCAGCCTTGCCTGCGAATGAGGGCAACATGGGAAGGGCAGTGGCGCATCTTCAAGGGGAGGGCAGCGATGGTGGAGAAGGGTGGGCTGTGGGAGGCGAGGAGGAAGATGAGTGGGAAGAGGCGGGAGCGGCCTTTTCAGTCCGTCACAAGGGTGGGGAGTGTGTGAGGAGCTGGAGGGTGTTTGGTCGGGAGGGAGAGGAGGAGGACGCGAGTGACGTGGACGGTGGAGGTGGAGTGGGGAGTGGGGAGGAAGGAGGGGAAGATGGGGAGATGGGGGACTGTTGGCGGTTTGTGGAAGAAGGGGCGGAAGGGAGGGGAGGCAGGGGGTATTGGAGGGGACAGGAAGTGGGAGGAGGAGAAGCAGAGGAAGGGGAGGGTAGGGGAGATGGAAGAGGGGAAGGGTATAGGGCAGAAGAAGGGGACGGAGGGGTGAGGGAAGAGGAAGGAGAAAGGGAGAGGGAGAAGGAAAGTGAAGGGGAGGGGGATGAAAATGGAGGGGAGAGGGAAGAGGAAGGGGGTTTATGGGAGAAAGGAGAGGGAGGAGAATGGGTAGAGAGGGAAAGAGAGGGCATGGATGGAAGGGAGGAGGAAGATTTGGCAGTTGAGCAAGAGGCGCAAACAGGCGTGCAGGAGGGGTGGAGGAGGAAGAGACATGCTGCAACAAGAGGGGTTTGTTTGGAGTCAACTCGATGCATTCATAAGCGGTGTTGGACGAGCAGCGAGCACGCAACAGCAAGTGAGGCTCGTGGAGGGGGATTGCTTAGAACGGGAGGGGTGATGAGAAAGAGAATGCGTTTTGAAGGAATCATTGAGGGGGAGGGAGGTGGGTCCAGGGAACACCACCTGGAAAGTCACCTGAGGCAGCAGATGAGATACCTGGGCACGAAGGTGCATCATTTTGTGGGGAGGAAGGGATGCCAGTTCAAGCTGAGGAAACACCTGAGACGGAAGGAGATGCTTCTGAAAGAGGAAGAGATTTACCTGAGGCAGAGGGAAGAACACGTAAAGGAGCAAAAAGAGCTTCTGAGGCAGCAGAACGAACACCTGAACGTTCAGGAAAACCACCTGAAGCGTAGGAGACAGCAGCTGGAGCTTCAGATGAGACGCACAAGGTTGCGAAAGGATCGTCTGGATCGTTGCCTTGTGGGTCCGTATGGTTTGAGAAGAGGGTTTGGGGTGAGTGGTGGGGAGGGATGGAGGGTGGCGGAGGATGGACGGAGAGGAAGATGTTTTGCGGTGGGTGATGGGGAAGATGGAGGGAGAGGACTGGTGAACGGAGGGTCACGAGGGAGGGTGATAATGAGAGGGAGGAGTGGTTGGGGTGAAGGATTGGAGTAGGGGGGGGGAGTAAGGGGTGAAGGGAGTTGAGTGCGTGGTGAAGGATGAGAAGAGGTGGGAGTGGTGGTGACTGGAGTGAAAGGAAATGGGGGTGTGAGGGGGGGCTAAGTATTAGAGAACAGGGTGATGGTGGAGATGTTGGGTCTTCATGTACAGGAGTTTCATTAGTTACCGTACTGCTGGGCTTGTGTAAGGCTTGATACATGTGTTTTGCTATCTTCTGATTCGACTCTTCAGCATGCATGACCTGAAACAATGTCAGGAGGATAGGAGAGGAGCCATTGTGATGGCATGGCAAGAGTGGAACATCGTAGTAATTGTTTTGCAATGTGTTTTATGGTGGGTGGCGGGGAGTACCGTATCATAAGATTCCGGAAAGAGGAGTGACAGTATGCATTAAAAGGAATAGCACGTTTCATCCTAGAGGTGCATTTAGAGTAACTTCTGCGTGACTTGAATCAATGTTTACAGGTTGAGTGTATGTGTAATGTCGTTAGCAAGTTGAGCAGTGTAATAGGTCTCTACATTCGAGGATATGTGTGTATATTATACAACGCTCCAAATCTGGGAGTTTTGAGCTAACCGAACTTGATGGATACAACCGACGGGTGGGCTGTTACCAATTGACAATGGCAATACTTGTGTGCTTCCGCAACCACGGACTTAGCGCGGACAGCACAAATAGGCGGAGAGGACGAAGGAGGACGAAGGAGGGGAAGGGATAACGCAAGGCCGCAACAGTCTATTTCTGCTCTATTCGAGGATATGGCATAGGCATAGGCGGGGTCACCCAAGGGAGCAACAGCCATGAGCACTGGCCGGGCCTGGGCCGGCTTGCTGGATACCCGGCCCACGGCTCGGCATATAAGGCCGGCCATTTCTGCTCGCACTCACACCCCCATTGCTCCCACACACATCCCCCATGCTCGCGCCCACATCCCCCCTTGCCCGCGCCCACACCGCGCCCCCTCTTGCTCACGCCCACACCCCTCCCTGCTCGCGCCCACACCCCCCCTTTCCACGCCCAGACCCCTCCCGACTCGGCCACACACCCTCCTTTCTCACGCCCACACACCCCCCTTGCTCGCGCCCACATTTCCCCTGCTTGTGCCCATACACCCCGCCTGCTTGCTCCCACATACCCTTTCTTCCCACTCAGGAGCTGGTGCAGACCCTTTCTTCCCAAGCTGCAGTGCAGGAGCTGGTGGCTGGTGGAGAAGGCGGCGCCTGCGCCCCTGTCCCCGTGAGCGGCGGTAGGTGGTGCTGGTGGGAGGGAGCAAGGCAAGACGGAAAGAGAAGCAGCTCAGCAGTCTGACTGAGGGCAGGGGGTCTGGGAGGCGTGGGGTGGAAGAGGCGGAAGGGGGGGAGGGGATGGGGGATGGGGGGATCTGGGGAGCAAGACCAAGTAACAGACAACAAACATGGAGAGGTGGTGCGATGGGGAGAGGTAGAGGGGAATAAAGAGGGGATGCTGGAGGGGGAGGAAGCATGATGAAAGTGGACAGAGGAGGGAATTGTGAGGGCAGTACACAAGGGCAATGGTATGGAAAAAACAATGAATTCATGTTGTAATATCCTATACAATTCAAGCACGCACGATCGATCAGCACATACACATGCAAAAAAGGCTAGGATTCACTCACGTGGGCGTTTCCTGAGGCCCTCATAGTCGTTGACCCACGAACTTCAGCTGTTGGGTTGAGTAACTGCTTTTCCCCCCAGGCCGCGTCCTTCAGACCAGCTCGCACAAGCTCCCTTCACTTCCTCGCCGTGCTCTATGCTCTTCCTAAGAATTGCAAACATTCACCATATAACCACAACTGCATGCTGTCATCCATATGCTGCTCATGTGTTCCCTCCATCCTCCCCCCTCCCCTCTCCATCTCCCCCCTCCCCTTCCCTCCCTCCCGCTCCTCCTTGGTGGTTGGCTGATGGTGCAACAGAGAGGCACCACATTCCAATCAACTTTGACAAATCTCATTTCCTGCGCAACACAACAATCACACCTTCTCTTCCCCTGTCTCCCCTATCTTCCCTCCCCCTATCTCCCCTTAACGGAAGGGGGAATAGCGTGGTCCGGGGGCGCGGGCGGCCCTACCAGCATGGTGTGGCTGGGGGGTATGAAGCTGGGGTAGGCGGGGACCGGAGAGGAGAGGGGTGGGGTAGTTGTCGCAGCTGCATTGGCCCCGACAGCGCGGCTCCTGTCGGCTGCCCAGCCTGTCTCGCTAATCCGCCCTCACTACCCTGCTCTGCTCCCCACTCGAGCGCCTGAAAATCCATCCCGTGCCCTCTCCGCCCCTGCTCCGCTCCGCCAGCGTCACCGCCCTCAACCCCCTCATCACTGCACCCCGCTCCTCCTGCGCCATTCGCATGTGATCCGCGAAAACAGTCTTCCCCGCTGACCTTGCGCAGCTTCAGCCTGCTTCTCCCACCAATCCCTGAGGCTGCCCCTGAATATGCCACATCGTCCGCCCTTGTGGGGTTAGTTGCTGCGGGCGAGCCTGTTCGATCTCGCCCAACGCGACACCTGAGGAGCGCACATTGCGGAGGCAGCAGTGCACGGATCAGGTGGCAGGTAACAGGTGGCAGGTAACAGGTGTTCCTCGAGGGCGGCGCGGGGCGACTCTGCCACGTGTGAATTCTGGCAAGCGTCGCATTCAGCAAAATATTCAGCAGCGGAGTTCACGGCGTGAAATGCGGTGGTGAACAGGTTGGATGGCAGGTACACACACGCGACGTCGAAGTGGCACACACGCCATGCACACGCTGCTGCTGGTGTGGGAATCGTGAACTGCCAGTTCCACCCTTTCCATGTGAGAGGCGGCAAACACCTGCGGGATAGTATAGCGGGGGCCCGGGGGGAGCAGGGGGGAAGGGGGACGGGGGGAGAAGGCATCAAAATGTGACGGTTGGCATGCGGAGTAGCCAAGTGACACAAACATGACAAGGATACGAGAAAGGGGGTTGTCCTGGAAAAACTCGGCTTGACCCACGTGACGCACCTTGGCTCGCATTGCTCGCTGAATCAACCACGACTTCCTCCCCCTTGCCCTCCCCGCCCTGCTTCCCCTCCTCCTCCATCTCCCTCTTTCCAGAAGTTTTCGCGGCCGACGAGGACACGACCGCCACCAGCACCACCGGCAATGTGGCCTGCTGCCAGGTCATGTCAGCAACGGCGCACTGCAGCACAGTCCGCGCGTCCTCCACGCACCGACCCAGTGCCGCCACCGGTGACTTGATAACCGTAGACAAAGGCACTTTCACCACCCAGGGGCCAGCGCCGCCTGGAAGAAACCCCGGGAGGCATGGTGTGCTTAGCAGCCGCGTGGAGCGGCAAGGTGAGGCTTAGCAAACTGCGGGTCAAGTGGCCTCTGCGCACGACGTCGGCCATTGCAAACGAACCATGCGACGAAGGGAGCGACGCTGAGTCGACCGGCTGGTAGTGAAACCACGAAACCTAGGGTTGCGGTTGCGGCTGCCCACCTTCATCAGGGGTGACCGGCTTCACCGTCACCACTGCTGCTGCTGCTGCTGCTAGTGGCTCAGTGCCCGGCTGTGTGCTGCAGCGATGAGGTGGGCTCCTCACAACGAGTACAGGGCAGGTGCTGTTGGTGTGGGAAGGGGAAGAGTTGGGAAAGAGGGGCGGAGACGGGGGGGGGGGGGAGGGAGGGGGAAGAGGTAGACAGTTGACTGCACACGATAATGCTTAGATTCATTCTGCCTGGTCAGCAAATGGCCAAAGGCAATGCAGATTTAACCCCCAGTTTGTCAACGAATCTAGGCGGCGTACTAGGGAGTTGAGAGTCGGATAGCATTTCATATCACCTAGAGAGAGCACAGAACTGCGAATGCTGTCGATCATGATGCTTTGACGGAATCTGAGAGATGGATGAGAGATTGGTGAAGTAGAGCTGGGGACTCCTAATTAATGGCATGGTGCTCATGCAGCGAATGGGTCAAACACACTCCCTAGGCCAGACACGCACGCAGGTTAAGTTAGCATGCAAAATCTGGCAGACAGGCTAGGTCAGGAATTTAAACTACGTCGGGCATACAGGTGAGGTTAGGTCAGAGATAGAGGATGAGTTAGGCATACATGTAGGTTACGCATGCACGTGCGTTACGACAGATCCCTTGTTCCTCCCTCCCACGCCTCCCTCCTGCCTTCACCCACTCGCCTCTGACTGGTTTCGCCACCACGACTGCTGCTGCCGCAGCCCGTGGCCCTGTCATGCTAGCTCGCTTTTTTTCGCAGTGATGAGCTGGGCTCTCACTGATACTGGAGGGAAGGTGCTGCTTGCGTGGGAAGGGGAAGGCGGTGGGGGAGAGCAGGAGAGAGTGAGGTGCATTCTCCCATTCTCGATTTTTCTCACCTCGCACCATGGTCGCCCGGCTTCCATTGGGAACTCGTCAGCTGAGAGGCTCCGCCTTTTCCACCCACTGGTACGATCCGACAGTGCATCCTCCCACGGAACATGCGGAATGGGACCCCAAAACATACAGCGCTCAGATACATTCTGCTGCGTCAGCAAACCAGCGCCAGAAACGCCGTACTGCCACGGGCGATTGACGCCTGCGTTCCGCCTGCTGACATGGCAGCGGTCCACTCACAGCGGATGCGGCGAGGGTGCGGTGAGCGCTGAAAATCTTGAGTGCTGAGAGAGGCAGCGATGGATTTGCGGGCGCGAGCGAAAACAGCGAAACGAAAATATGATGCTCGCATTTACGACTCTCGCCTTCGTCTAACCGCGAAATGACTCCCTACTGTGATGATTGGGTCAATGGTTTGTTGAAATGTCGATCGTCGCTCCCATCGGTTTAATTCCTATGGGCTAAGCGGACTCTTTCTCACATCGGTTAAAAACGCGCGACCCGATTAGTTGCTGCACAAGTGCTCAATCTTGCTCTGACAGAAGCCAAGTGATGGCAGGGGAAATATGGGAAACGGGAATGTGCAAGTGCTGAGAGCAGCGAACTTGCCTAATAGAAATCGAGTCATTTGACACATGACGCACTCGGGTCGTCTAAGTATTGGCTCAGAAGGTGAGTTTCGATTGAAGTGTTGTTTGGAGTATGAAGAAAGTGAAACGCGGTTTGCATTTTCCCCGATGTAACACCATGTTACCAAAATCTTGAGTCGGCATTCAGTGGAGAAACATAGTTTCCAGTGTAACGACCTTTCTCGAAGACCACTCCTGCTTTCGTCAGTAGACTGAAAGGAGCTAGAAATTTGAGGCGACTATCTCGAGGTGGCAACCCCAAGTTGAAAGTCGCATCTGAATTCCCTCCAAGCGTGCAATTCCGTCTTGAGTTCGTACTCTCTACGGTCTCGATTTCCGGATTCTCCGATTGTCAACCTAACACGGGTCTTGCAGTTGAGCAAATTCTTGAGCATCACTGCACTGGACCCTCTTAGTTTCCTACGGAGAGTTGTCCAACACGATGAACACGAGCGGTACTTAGAATCTGCAATAGAGCAGGGTATCGCGAATCGCTCAACGTAGCCGCGAGTTGTTGACATTGATCTTACATTCGGCTCCTCGGTGTTCACCATGGCGTGCGTTGTTCCTTCATCCCCGTCATTCATGTCGATCAGCAGCTTAGAATACACGCAGATCCGTGTTCGTCCTTGCAGATCTCTTGATAAGAACCACGTGAATCCATTCAGATCTGCATTTCCGTCATGGACAAGTCCGTACCAGCTCGGATTCGGCCCATTAAATCACTCCGCATGGAATGCCTTAGTCAGGGCCCGAACCTCTGACCGGAGCGTTGCGATCAGATGCAGCGCAGAAAACGCTTCCATGCCATCGGACTCTCCAGAAGCGGCGGTCCCAAACTCTAGATTACAGCCGACGGCCCATGAGAATCCGACCGTTGAGACGGAGTTTAAGGCTCTTGGAGCGGGGAAGGAGGAGGTGGGAGCTGTTAGAGAAAGGGAGGAGAGCGTAAAAGTTGTTGAGGAAAAGCAGGGGAGAACCAAGGAAGTTGGGGGTAAGAGGCGTGGGAGGAGAGCAGGCAAAGCGAATGCAAGAAGCGACGGAAGCGGGAGTAAGAGCAGAGAAGGGGAAGGATCCGAGGAAGAGGAGGAGGAGGAGGCAGTGGCAGTGATTGCTCAGTTGTTGATGGAAAAGTTCGGACCTCAGATTGTGACAGAGGAGGTGGAGGAGGGGGCTGGGTTTGGAGCGATTGAGGGGGAAGAGGAGGTGGAGAGAGGAGAAGAGGAAGCAGAAACAGAAGGGAGTGAGGAGGGTTCATCAGGCACCACATCTCGCTCCACTCGTGCTACCTCTCGTTCCTCCCTTCGCTCCTTCTACCGCTTCTTCTCCTCCCACCTCGGTATCTCCTCCCCTTCTGCTGTAGCTTCTCTTCTCGCCTCCAACCCCCAGCTCCTTCGCTCGAATCCCACCAATGACTTCCTGCCACGTGTCCGTCTCCTCCAATCGTACGGCGTATCACGTACCGACATCGTCCGCATCACTGCGAAAGGAGCAGCCTGGCTCCGAGTCTCCCTTCCACGGATTCAAAACAGGCTTGAGTTTCTTTTGGCTCAAGGCGTCCGCCGAAGCAGATTGGGCTTGGTCCTCCGACGTGGATTGAGCTTACTCTGTGAGGCACGTTCAACGAACCTGGACATTCTGGTGGAGAGAGCAGGGGTTCCTGTGGACAAGCTGGGTTTGGTTATAGAGAAGTGTCCGGACATCTTGACTCGGAGCAAAGAGTCGGTGAATATTCAGCTTGAGACGTTATTACCTTATTTGCAAGCGAGATCTGGAGGGAAGGTAGAATCAGATAGCACCAGCACAAGCCTCCTTAAGCAGCAACTAGATGAGCCGCAGTCCTTGAATTCCGCAGACACCCCCTCCATTGTGACCTCTGTGCTTTGGCGGGCCCCCACCATCTTCAATCTCAGTAGAGACACTCTTTTAGCTAAGCTCCAGTTCTTGGTGGGGCTGGTGGGGGAGGAGGCAACAGGAAGAGTGGTGAGGAGCTACCCGCAGGTTCTGTTACTATCGAAGGAGAACGTGCAAGGCAAGGTGGCGTTATTGGCTGATTTGATTGGCCAAGAGAATGCAGTGCGGGCGGTGACACTATTTCCTTCGCTAGTATCGTCTAGTAAAGATGGGATGAGGGAAAGTTTCAGAGAGCTTGTGCGAGAAGTGGAAGAGGCATTGGAGAGCAGTGGAGGAGAGGGAAGTGGGTTGCTAAGGTTGGGGGGAGGTGACTGCTGGGAAGAGGAGAATAAGTATGGAGCGCAAGCCGGCAAGAGACACAGGGCTCGTAAGTTAGTTGTGGATTTGGTGGTGAAGTTCCCGCAGGCTATCTACATCAGTTGGGAAGCAAACTTGAAGCATAAGGTGGAGTACTTAAAGCGGGACATGGGGCTGTCCATAGTAGAGATGCTTGCCTTTCCGCAATTCGTTACCTACAGCTTGGATCGGCGAATCAGACCGCGACATGTGGCATTGTTGCGAACGGGCTATGAGGTTGTGGTACGCGAGTTGGCTATTCGGACGAGTGGTGGCAAGAGGGATGTTTCAATAGGGAAAGAGAGGAGCATGCTGGGTTCTGTGTCTGATGAAGTGGAGGGGGTAGAGGGGATTGAATGGGGAGCGGAAGAAGGGAAGTGTGGGCCGTTGTTTGGGGTTGTAGCAGCCACTGATGAGCCAGGGGAGAGAGTAGTTACAGAGCGGCAGCTTCTGGATTTGGAGCGGTCAAAGAAAATGGTGTGCTTGCAGCAGTTTCTCCACTGTACAGACAAGAAGTTTGAGGAGAAGTTTGGCATCAAACTGTAGGGCTGGTGCTGATATTCGCTTCTTCGGCTTCCTATGTGCCCCGGGCCTAAGAGTCCATGCCTGAGTGTGAGGGTGTGTGCCCATGCCTGAGTGTGAGGGTGTGTGCCCATGCCTGAGTGTGAGGGTGTGTGCCCATGCCTGAGTGTGAGGGTGTGTGCCCATGCCTGCGTGTGAGGGTGTGTGCCCATGCCTGAGTGTGAGGGTGTGTGCCCATGCCTGCGTGTGAGGGTGTGTGCCCATCCCTGAGTGTGAGGGTGTGTGCCAAGTCCATGCCTCCACCCTGTGAATCTCAATCTGTCAGGCGGCCAGGTTTTTGTGCCACAGCATTGATGCTGGGCCCTTTGTTGCTGCCAGATGGGAACAGAGGGGGTGTGGCTGCTACAGCTGCCTCTGCTACAGCTGCCACAGCCCTCCCCATGTGGGACCTGCTACAGCTGTTCTTGTGGGTGGCTGCGGTGTCACCGGCTGTAGCAGAGGAGCTGTTGTTTCAGAGGGCTGCTGCTCGCGGGCCTGCAAGAGAGGCTTAGCAGGTGAGAGGCTGGGAAGGAGGTTTGGCAAGGCTGCACCTCCACCTGCTGCCTTTTTTCTGGGCTTGGTATCTCACACCTCCCCAAGCACACACACTTTCCCACCATTTCAATTCTACTTTCTCCCTTGCCTGTAATGTCATGATACCCAGAACTGAAACCAGTGTAAGTCAGAATTGTGCTAGGTATTGTTTGACTAACTTCCCTTCCTGCGCTATCCCCTTCTTGCCTCTTCCTCCCTCAGGATCGGCACTGCCATGCTGTCTTTGCCCTCTCCCTTTCACTCCTCTTCCCCAACATGGCCCTTGGGGTTGCAGCCGGCCTGCTCATCGTCTCCCCCAATAACGTGCTGCCAGCGGTCGCCCTGCATACCACTTACCATGCGTCCGCCCTTCTCTCTATACACTCATGGCTGTGGCTGCTGCTTCTCTTAAGCAAGGAAGAGCTAGTCTTTTCGTGGATGTCTTTCGATATGTTCCGGAGCACATTGCACAGAAATAGTTGTGCCGGACCACATCAATCATTCTCGTTAGAATCGCCATTGCATTAACCACTGGAAAACACAAGACATGACAACCTACAGCAACAAGGTTATTGCTTGTGGGGGTAGGAGTAGTAATATTTGAAAAAACACATACCGGTAATGAACTACAGCAGCAGGTTTCCTGCTTGTGGCGGGGCGGCGTATGAGGCGCTTTAGAAGTATTATTTGAAAACTACTGTACATGACGAACTACAGCAGCAAGGCTACTGGTGCAAGCCGTGCGGCTGCTGTGTCCGGTCCTGTGCCCAAGAGGGAGCAAGTGAGGCTGTGAATGCGGCTCCACATTGTCAATCACAATGCCTCGAGAAGCCAGCCAACCACTCCCTGCAGATCAAACTACAACATGAAGGCTACTAGCGCAGGGAATGTGATGGTTGTGCCCCGTGCCCAAGGGGCCAAGCATGAGTGTGAGGGAGCAAGTTCGCCTGTGAGTGCGGTTCCACATTGTCATTCGCAGCGCCTTGAGCCGCCAGCCACTCCCGACAGTGCTCCCGGACCTTGGGTGCGTTCCGAGCCTCGTGGAAGATGAAAATAACATCGTTGATGCAACTCTGTAGCAGGTACACCGGCCCATACCCCGCTCCACCGCTGCTGCTGCCGCTGCTGCTGCTGCTGCTGCTGCTGGCAGTAGGGCAGAGGTGAGAGCTCCTGCTGCCAGAGCCGGCCAGGCGCAGCCTGCGACATGCCACACTGAAAAGAACCTTCCTGGAAGTTGGGGAGATGCACGAGCATGGGGGTAGAGGAGTTGGCACATGGATCCGGCATGGGTACACTTGAGTCAATACCGGGCACTAACGCAATCTCACCTATGCTTGACTCACTTGTGCTCTTCTGACAGCATGTGATAGTCGGCCAATCTGCTCCTTCAAACACACACAGGTAACCTATGTTCCGTATTCATGCTAACACGCTTACAGCAGAGCATATCATTGGAATTGATGACAGTGATGGAAACACACAAGTCATGACACTGCAGTGGATGAAACTGCATATGAATGGGATTGATAAAACAGAAGTCACTTGCATCAGCAACTGCGTCATTGTGGATGAATATGACTTAGGTATGCTCAAGCACCATGCATGCATGGCATGTGATGATGCCACATACTCGCACTTGTTCATCTTTCATTGGAGCCTACACCACGTGACCACATGCAACGAGCAAAGTACAGCATTCAAAAGGACGCATTCGCCGATTTTTTCCCCCTCCCACACCTCTCTCCTTCCCGACTCCGCTCACTCATCAGTGACCTCCGTCACCGCCACCACTGTTGCTGCTGCAGCCCATGGATCTGCCGTGCTGCCCGGCTGTGTGTCTCACCGATGCGTTGGCTGCTCGTGACTAGTCAAGGGCAGGGTGATGTTGGAGTGGGAAGGGGAATGGAGTGGATAAGAGGGCAAAAGAGGTAGGAACATACTGCTGCTGAGCAAGAGAGTGGATTGACGATAGCTGATGGAGGTAATGCACACAGGAAAGAAATGCTCGCTTTCATTCTCCCATCAGTAAGCCAGCGCCAGAAGCACCGTACTGGGCACAGATGGGAGAAGGAGCAAAAGTCGGCAGGCAGCAATGGACGGAAGAAGAAAAACATCGTGAGATATTCATTCAGACTTCTCCAACTACTTCACTTCTCACACCTCTGTGTTGGCACGTCGGCCTACCCGTCAGCATATGCTTGCTTGCATCTCATTTGTATTCTCAAGTGAATCATGATATCCCAACGTGACCAGCATGCAATGAGCAGTGTGCAGCTATCGCCCACTTACACGACTTCTGGTACCTCACTCTTCTTCACCGTCATGCCTCCCTCGTCACCTCGTCTCCCACTTCTCGCATGAATGTACTCTCGTGGCTTCATCGTGCTGCCAGGCCGTGTGTCGCAGCAATGGGTTGGGGGAGAGCGCACAAGGAAATGGGCTCATGACTTATTGCTGTTGGTGTGGAAAGGGGAAGGGGGGTGTTGGGGGAGAGCGCACAAGGCAGGGGGCGTACTTCAGAGCAAGGGGGAGGTGGACGACAACTGATAGTATTGCATCCGGGAAAATAGCGCTCAGATCTATTCTGCTTTGGCAGCACACTAGCACCATAAATGCTGCTCTGGGCTTGGATAGGAGATGGTGCAGAAGGAAGGACAGAGAACGGCGATTACAACTCATTCCACTTGACTCTGCTCACGTCCACGTTGGTACCATCCTCAACCTGCTACTGTCCATTGGGGGAAACCGTCAGCAGAAGCCGTCAGCTGAGAAGGCGCCCATACATATTCCACCTGCTTCCACCATGCAGCGGCTCGTCTGCCCATGCCAGCCATAGCAGCAACGAGGCCATGGCAGCTTAGGCAGGAGCAACTCCAGTGCTGTGAGCTGCTCACATGCAGGCAGGCACACCTGTTGGACAGTATGGGTCAAGCAAGCAAGAAAAGGCACAAAGGGTTTGTGAGAGTGGAGCGAGCGAAACGAGGCAGTGAGGCGAGCAAAAGAGGCAGTGAGGCGAGCAAAAGAGGCAGTGAGGCGAGCAAAAGAGGCAGTGAGGCGAGCACGAATAGGCACAAGGGGGTGCGAGTGAAGCGAACAAAAGAGGCGCAAGGGTATGCGAGTGAAGCGAACAAAAGAGGCGCAAGGGTATGTGAGTGAAGCGAAGAAAAGAGGCGCAAGGGTATGTGAGTGAAGCGAACAAAAGAGGCGCAAGGGTATGTGAGTGAAGCTAGCAAAAGAGGGCACAAGGGTCTGTGCATGAAGCAAGCACAACGGGCCACAATGGGCTAAGAGGGGACAAGGGTCTGTGCATGAAACAAGCACAACGGGCCACAACGGCTGGGTTGAAGGAGAGGGTAGGAGAGCATGAAAGTAGCACAGGAGAGGGTCGGAGAGTAAGAGGGGGGAGTAGGAGGGGAGGAGGGAGAGTAGAATGAGGCAGCAGTGGCACCGCACCGCAGCCAGAAGCAGAGTGAGAGTGAATAGCCATTGGTCAATGCAAGTGACTCACCGGCTGGTTTCGATGAACTTGAGGCTTGTTAAGAAAAGGTGAGGTTGAAGCTTTGACCCAGCCAAGGACGAGCAAATGTCGGACCCCTCTTGCTACTGTCTCTGTTAGGGCGCGTCACCTCGGGCGACAATATGCTGTTCGAACGCCCAAATTCTTGGGGTTGAGTACGGTACAGTGCGTTTGAGAAACAATTGGTGTGGTTCAGAGCGGTGCCTGTTCGAACAGGCCCGTTCGAACGTCTGAGGTGACACGCCCTTAATTGGTGGTCACACTGGCACCCGCGGTGGTGGTGATGGCGCTGGTGCTGCTGCTACTCGTGCTTCTGTTGCTGCTGGTGCTTCTGCAACTGCTGATCTATTCATCTTGAATTCTTCATTGTCCTGGAACATGGGAGAGGGATCGCCAAGAGGTGGACAGGAGGAGGACACCACGGAATGACATGAAAGCAGATAAAAGGGAACTGAAACCCTGCGAGCGACCGGAGAGCGATCTGAGAGTGACAAGAGAGAGACCTGAGAGTGACCTCAGACTGATCTGAAAGTGGCCTGAAAGTGACCTGAGACTGACCTGAAAGTGGCCTGAGACTGACCTGAAAGTGACCTGAGACTGACCTGAAAGTGACCTGAGACTGACCTGAAAGTGACCTGAGACTGACCTGAAATTGACCTGAGACTGACCTGAAATTGACCTGAGACTGACCTGAAATTGACCTGAGACTGACCTGCGGTGGTAGTCAGTGAGCCGTAGCAGAGAGCCGGGCACGCGGAAGGGAGGTGATAGTGCCTCAGTAGTAAGTGCGCCTGCGCCCTGGGGGCAAGCGCCTGTGCTGGGGTGTAGGGGTGGGAGGAAGGGAGGGAGGAGGAAGGGAGGGAGGAGGGGGGGAGGAGGGGGGAGTGCAGTGGTGCAAGAGCTGTGTGGCGCCGCCATAGGGGTGTTGAGAATTGGCAGGAAAAGAGTGACCTTAAGAGAAGTGGCCAGAGCGAGTGCAGTGAATGAGGGCTCAAGTGAGCGGACGACTCGGAATCCATGAGGGTTCTGGCAGGCAGAGGACATGTGGCAGGCAGGCAGGCAGGTGACAAGTGGGGATGCAGGAGACGCAGCCGCACAGCTGGTGGGGCAATCGTTCAGTTTCCGGCAGAGGCGCCGCTGGTGGTGGCGCATCGGTGGTGCAGCGGTGGGTGCGAAGCATCATCCCTGTGAGGCAGGGTGCGGTGAACGGCCGGCTTGACATGCATGGTGATGCCCGCACACACCACGGGCCCCATTAGCCCAGCCAGCCAGGATTTGACGAGAACAAGTCGCGAGATGCGTCACGGAAGAGTCTGGCGTCGGGGGTGGGAGATTGGGGTCAGGAGAGGGGTGGTTTACGGGTAAGGAGAAGGAGAGAAGGAAAGGGGAAGGAGGTACGGGAGGGGAAAGAGGAGGGGGAATGGGTACAGACAAAGGGAGGAGGAGTAACTAATGGTAAAGGGAGGGGAAAGGGGAGGGGGAGTAGGTAAAAGAGCAAGTTGGGGTAAGTGAAGTGCGTAAGGGTAAAGCACAGGGGTAAGGGGAGGGTTTGAGAAGGTACTTAGGTGCTTCCTTGGCAAAAAGTGTGGCTGTGCGAGTGGGTGCGAGGAGGGCATGGGAACAACAAGCAGGTGCAGAGCGGAGTTCAAGGGGTCAAGGATGATGTGAGGGGTGCAAGAGAAAGTTGGGGATGGCTGGGTGGGAAGGAGGCGTTGCAGGGCGTTTTGGAGGGTCCTCTGGAACTCCCCTCGGAGCTCCAAGGCGTCCTCTGTAGCCTCCACCAGCCCCAGCAGCAGCTCTGCCTTCGGCAGCTCCTCCCAGTCCTTAAATTGACTCGAACATACATCATCCCCGCCCCATATCGACTGCTCACAGCCTCTCACACATTGCCATTCACACGTAGCCTCTCCGACGCATCAACTTCAACCCCCCTCTCCCCACTCCCTTCTCCCGCCATTCCTTCACCCCCCCCTTGCTTCAACCCCCTTTCCTTCATCCCCCCTTGCTTCAACCCCCTTTCCTTCATCCCCTCTTGCTTCAACCCCCCTTCCTTCATTCCCCCTTGCTTCAACCCCCCTTCCTTCAACCCCCTTCCTTCAACCCCCCTTCCTTCAACCCCCTTCCTTCAACCCCCCTTCCTTCACCCCCCATTCCTTCACCCCCCCTTTCTTCATCACCCCTTCTCCCCACCCTTCTCCAAGTGCCTCTCACACGCATCTCAACCCTTCAAGGCGTCTCACCTTGCAACCTGCGGATTTCTTGACTAAGCGGCTTGCAGAGCATCAGCATTGGAGCTGTGCCACCTTGTGTGGCATGTCCTTCAACAAAAGGAGGCAACTTCAGGGAGCAGCTAAGGGGTGAATGAGAGCACGATGAGGGGGAGTTTGTTGTGCCAAAGCACTATAGTGGCACGGTCATCGCACTCCCATTCAGCCTACAAGCCTGCTCAGCTTCTGGAATTTTGTGGGGAGGTGCTTCAACATGTGTTATTCAGACCCTCAAAGTTTCAGAATTTTTGAAGCAGTTTACAAGGCATGACAACATTTTTTGGTTTCAAGACTTATGGCATCCCTGCTTCTGCCGCTGCATCGACAGATTCATTGTTTCGTTTGGTATGCGCGTTGGCTTGGCGATGCACCACAGCAGAAGCAGGGATGCTGCCAGTCCAGTCCAGGTATGGCTGCCCACATGATCAACTGTGAAACCAAGGATCATCAGGGAATTCGAATCTACAGTCAGGAAAGAAGGCATGAAATCATTCGTGACGTTGGGTAATACACATGACTATAGGCAGGTCCTAAAGGAAAGGTGTGTGGGTGACACCATGACACTCCTATCGAGCGTCATGAGGGACAGGAGAGGCTTGAGCATCAGGCTTACGGATTCAAGGCAACTGTGTGGCGCCAATCTAGGACGTGGAATGGGAAGAGCCAGTGACTTTTGAGTCGACTCAAAAGTCACCGTGCATGGGTTCACAAGCATCGCGCTGACGCAGGTGGTAATGCGTGCCCGAGCTGGTCGGATGTCTTGAATCTTGAGGCTCGCATAGACTGAAATTGGCAATCGATTGGCTTATTCTTATGGCCAAAGGTGAGGTCACCTTAGGAACAAGAAAATGCCCTCATTCGCTCATAAGCATGTCCATTCCAAGAAGCTACACCCCCTCTGCTGTGTAAGTGTGCACGAATGAGGCACAATTGCTTGCACTCACCCCATTCGAAAAGCAAGTTCATTCGAAGTGTTGAAGAGCAGTGGGCGTGCGATTGCTCAAGTGGCATGTGTGAGCAGCCATACGAAGATCGGGTGCTGGCTCCCATCTCCCCATGTGTGCTGCTGCTCTGCATGCTCTGGAGCTGTGGGGAGGTGCGAGCAGAGAAGCGCGGATTCAGGACCAGACGAGGGGACAAAAGAGGGGGGGGGGGGGGGGGGGGGGGGGGGGGAAGGAGGCAGGGGCAGGATGAGAGCGAGGAGGTAGAGATGCAATCATGTCCCAGAAAGTACAAGAATAAGTGCGGAACAATGGTGCCAAGCCAAACAGTGCTGGAGTCAGTGCAATGGACCATGCTTGTATAATGAGTCACTTTTGATCCCTTTCAAGGGCGTAGGGAGCAGAACAAAGGTGGCAAACAGTGCTAGAGGCTGATAGAAGTGGTGGGAGTCAGTGCAGTGAGTGTAGTGGGGCAGAATTCAGCAGAAAAATAACAGGTGCGGAGCTGGGGAGGGGTGACAGCGGGTAAGGGAGGAAGGGAGAGGGAGGGAGCAGGGAAGGAGGGAAGTGAGCATCGCGATGTTAGCATGAGGGTTCGGGCAGGCGGGCGACAAGTGGGGTTGTAGGAGATGGGGGAGGGGAAGAGAGAGGGGTAAAGGTAGGGGGACGGATGAATGAAAGTGAAAGGGAATGAATGGCTCAGGCAGGCGGGCGACAAGTGGGGATGTAGGAGATGCAGCGCACAGCTGGGGGGCAATCATTAAGTTTCTGGCAGCGGCGCCGCTGGTAGTGGTGCAGCGGTGTTGCAGCGGCGTACACATCATCCCGGTGAGGCACGGTGCGGCCTACGGCCGGCTTGAAACGCATGGTGATGCCCACACACGTACATCGCCGGCCCAGCCATGCCCATTGGACCTCGTACATCACACGTACATCCCTCGCCGGCGAGCAGTGTGGCTGTGATGTACGTGTGCCTGGGCCAGCCATCGCCGGCCCAGCCATCCCTATCCTCCTGTGCCTGCACAGGGGCGCTAATCTTGCCAGCATCGCGTGCCTGACTGAATTCCGCAAAACCTGCGGCTTCGCTATTGATCACGGAGCCGCCACTTGTACTTCTAGCTGCTAGTAGCAGAGCACTTAAAACCAGGGTGCACATTCAACGCGGTTCGGCTTGAGATGTTGGGAAGGGGGTTTGGAGAAAAACAGTGATTGGCTCACGAGGGGCGACAAAAAAATGATTCCGCTAGAGCTTCGGGCATTTCGTAGGTGGCGGGAGGGGGTGAAATGGCGGGAGTGGGTGAAACCGAATGGCGGGAGGGATGAAACAGATTGGCGGGAGGGGGGGGAAACGAAATTGCGGGGGAGGGGGGAAACAAAATTGCGGGGGAGGGGGGAAACGAATTTCGACGGGGAGGGGGAAATGAAATTGCGGGGGCGTGGGGAAACGAAATTGCGGGGGAGGGGGGAAACGAATTTCGACTTGAAGGGGTTGAAAGCACACCTCGTAACCCACTCAGTCAAGGGATAACCTTTGATGCACATTCAGCTGAATGTGCACCCCGGTTTTAAAACCAGGGTCTCACGTAAGAGAAATCGTGATCAACTGCAAAACAAATGAAGCTGAGTCACCCTGTTTGAGGTGGCGAAGTCTAGGGGTTGGTTTGGCATTTGACTGTGCGACACCTCCCGTTTTTGCCTGTGATGCAATTGCAAAACATTTTGATGGTACATGAGACTGACAGGATGCTCGAACATTTTGCGGGTGTTTTAGCTTTGGCACCGAACCAACTTGATGTGCCTAGATGGTTCGGACACAAACTGCGATTTGTGTTTCCTTCGCTCCCCTCGTCACACCGCTCGTCATACTTTCCACCTCGCCAACCAATCCTAACCAGGGTGAAGTCGTCAACTGCAAAACAAATGATCTACGTGGGACCCTGGTTTTAAAGTCGCCTCTTTTACTCCAACGACCCGCCTCCGCCTTTCGAGAACCCATCCTCAGCCTTCACTAGCACCATCCGCTTTCAATCGCACCATCCGCCTTCACTCGCATTCGCTCGCATGATCCGCATCCTAAAACCGCAATTCTCTCTTTCCAGTCGCGCATCTGAAGTTGAACCCGGGTTTTGAATTCACTTGTTCTCGCTCGCTTAAAAATGAATTGCGCATTAATTAGTCCGCCCCTCGCACAGCCAACAACACGAGCATCAAAGCCTCGAATGGGAGGACCACGGAGCGTGATGGCTGAATCATGATGCACCGCGCGGCGTAACTACGTTCTCTCGTGGAGTTAGCTGATAATCCTAAAGTGCTATCCTGCTGTGTTGGTGCGGAAAAGTTGAATGGGAGAAGGACCATTAGGGGATCGGGCGATTCAAGGGATGGCAGAGGCGTGCGAGCAGGTAGGATTGGGGGAATTGCAATCTCGGGGTGCGTTGCTCGTCGCTAACGCGAAGTTTCCTCTAGGAGGTTATACTCACCAAAAATTGTCGCGACGCTACTTTCAACTAAGATTCGAGACGGCGAGGAAGACGGAAGACTCGTCGTACGGAATTACGACAGAGACCTAGCAATAGTCTGAAATTTCGAGCGAACTGCTCATCAAGTCTGGCAGGAATTCACTAGTCGATACTCGCGAGGGGAACATCTCAAGTCTATCGAATCACTCGCTTGTATCAGCGATCTGCTGAGGGAAAGTCGAGAGTCTCCG